CCATTTAGCTCATAGACTGTCTTTCCCCCATTTCCCCCCCTTGTGGCGGGGATGGAAACCCAAGGGGCCTGCCTTGGCTAGCCTGGGGACTTGGTCCAAGAAGGAGGTACTTGTACCCCTCCCATGGGAGACTTGGTCCAACACTCCCAAAAAGGGGGAAAGCCAAGGCCGGGCCACCACTGGAAAAGGCCCGGGCCGGGAGAATACCGGGCGAATTTTTAATAAAAAAAATAATACACTGAAATCACATGTTTAACTGTACTGGGTTTTTAGGTTAAATCCAAAACAATTACAAAAACCAACACTTGTAAATTTTTAAGATATAAAAGCCCCTAAATACAAATTTACTAAAACAAACAAAAAAAACGAGTGATAATAATAGTTTTACAAATTAAATTCTTTTTCTTAAAATTGTTAAACTTTTTCTTTCTATAAATTTAGGGTCAACCCTATATTTTTTTTAGGGCCCCTTTTAATTCGAACATCAATATTTTGGGTTTTAAAACCCCCAATTTAAAAGTTATTTTCATGAAAATGCAGTTTTATGCAATATTTTTGTCCAAAATTTTATTTAGAGGGAATTCATGTTATTATTATTATTAAATATTCGCCGGTATTCCCCCCGGGCCCGGCCTTTTCCAAGTGGTGGCCCCCCCGGGGCTCCCTTTTTAGGAGTATCTGAGACCTAAGTCTCCCATGGGAGGGGGCCCAAAAGACCTCCTCATCTTTGGGCCCCCAACGTCCCCAGGCCTACACAAGCTAGGCCTCTCGGTCGCCATCCCCCCCCCCAAGGGGCTAAGGAAGCATCTTATAGCAAAAGGCTGGGGCTCAGGACCAAACCCTACCCAGAAGGGCGGGAAAGGTGTCGTTTGGGGAATTTCATAAAAAATATTTTACAAAGTATTTTAAAAAAAGAAAAAAAGAAAGTTCTATGGAATTATTTAACTTTCCGGATCAAGAATACCCAAAAGGGTTCGGTATTACAAAAAAAATAAATGGTTATAACATACGATATTTTTTTAAAAGGGTTGGAGAGGTAAGCCAGATAAGGCCTTAGTGACCAAAAGCTCCGTTGGGGGTATGCAAAACCCCTCAGGAAACCTTGTCCCCCGTTTCCCGACAAACATTACCTAACCAACCCTCATTTTAATATGTTTTGAATATACCCGGACCCAATGGGAAAAAGTCCTTTGACTTTTTTGGGTTATCCTAGAAACTCTATACGCTCCGTACATAGTCTATGAAAAGTATTTATCGATCTGACCAAATAAACTTACCACTAAATGGGGGGTAAAACCTAGTACGTTTGGCCATGGATGCTTAACCACTGAATTGGGTCATTAATTAGTTAAGCCCTAATGGAAACAAGTCATAACTTTTTTTGGATTTTTTTGGGAAATAAAAGATAAAAAAGATTTCTTCGGATTTTTGACCCCCCGGAGGGGAGCCCCCAGGATAACCCAAGAAATCAGTGCCCATCGAGGGCTGCAACTTATTTCCTTTGGGTCCTTAATCTTGTCTCCCAGGATGCGACCCACCCAGTCGACTAACACCCAGGTACCTATTTGCTGCTAGGTGAACAGGACAACAGGTGTAAGGAAACGTGTCCACCCGCCAGGAATCGAACCCGGGCCCTCCGCGTGTGTAGCAGGAGCTTTAGCCACCAGGTCAATCTACTCATATACTATTATGTATGATAATCTATGTAACTGTATTTGTGTGTATCTAAAACTTATTAAGGTATCTTACTTGAAAGGAAGGGGCGGGTTACAGTAACCTTGACTGGTGGTAACATGGGACGTGGTCATAATGATCCTTGGCGTTGTTGATAGGCTTAAAGTTCAATCACCCAAACCCTGTTAACGATATCAACTGGCGGACCTACATTTTGGCGGTCTTGAAGATTGAACTGTTATGGAGGCCCTGAAGATTTAACTGCTATGGGGGCCCTGAAGATTGAACTTATGGGGACCCTGAAGATTGATTATTATTATTATAATCAAGGGGAAGCGCTGAACCCGGAGGATTATACAGCGCCTGGGGGGGATATGTGGAAGGCATTCAGGCTTAATTCGGGGAACTGGAGCACAGATCCAATTCCCTAAATCAAGAGCCCCTCACCAAGATCAAGGAACCTTCCTTGAGGGGCCCTGAAGATTGAACTGTTATGGGGGCCCTGAAGATTGAACTTATGGGGGGCCCTGAAGATTGAACTTATGGGGGGCCCTGAAGATTGAACTTATGGGGGGGCCTGAAGATTGAACTTATGGGGGGCCCTGAAGATTGAACTTATGGGGGGCCCTTCGCAACCAACAACGGCCTACATGATAATTTAATAACATTTAACTTTGTATTGAATTACACCATATTATAAATTTTATTATTTTTTAAAAACTTGTTATACAGTAGACCCAGAATTTTTAAGCAAGGTGGACTAAAGTGGCTTCAGGGCCCAACCGGCGTTGAGACCCTGAAACTTTAGCCATAAGATTTTCGGATTTTTTACCCCGGAGGGTTAGCTACCCAGGATAAGCCAAGAAAGTCAGTGCGTCATCGAGGACTAACTTATTTCCATTGGGGTTCTTAATTAATCTTGTCCCCCCAGGATGCGACCCACACCAGTCGAATAACAACAAGGTACCTATTGCTGCTAGGTGAACAGGACAACAGGCGTAAGGAAACGCGTCGAAATGTTTCTACCCCCCGGGAATCGAACCCGGGCCTTGAGCTTGAGCCACCAGACCACAACCACCATTAGTTTCTTACTAGATCCTCTCCTGAATATCGATCTGGTTATCTCCACTAACCTTAGTATTTTATAATCTCCTCTCCTGATAACGAGGTACTTTATCAATCCTACAAGCTGCTAAGAGAACACTTGGTCTCCACCTTCCAACCCCCTCACTCACTACTGCTATTTCTACACTACCTCGTACCTCTACCTCACAGCCACACAATATCTTTCCCGAGTTGTTCATAATTAGCTTTCTTTTGATTTGTATGACTTTAAAAAGAATAGTTGCTTAATCTCACCGAGCTTAATTCTTTCCTAGTCAAATCTGCATGTGGTTAGGTTGTCTTAAGTCCTCTAATTATTGGTTTTAACCTTGACAGTTTAGAAGACAAAATCAGTACTAATCGGTACTTGGGAAGACTTGATTCTGCCCAACCTGAACAAATTTATTTCTGAAGGACATTAACTCTTTTGCAGGGAGTTTGATGGACCTGTGATCAATAAACAGTCTGTCACGAATTGAACTGAAGAATATTATTTAATATACTTTTCAAAGAATCCTGGACTCTCATCACAGACGCCCTGGCATGGTTGTCATTCCTCTGTCAAGTGAACACCGATTTAGATGCTGTCAGCTTTCGTCCAGCTTAGTATATTATATGGATATAATTAATGCAACATGTATTCTTTACATAAGACATTCACATCACCTGACGTGATATTTAAGTTCTTGGGGGAACCGACGCCAGCGGAATACATTGGTCATAGTACCCAAAGCTCCAGTTTGTTGGTAATGGCACCCACGCACATGTATCCATATTCATGTTTATTCAATTTTACAATATAATAAGATTTAAAAGAGTTCACACGAGGGAAGCAGCCGCCTTCTCGTCTATCTCTTTCCGTAGGCGTTGGTCGTAGGCCTGGGCGGCAGGCATGAGTAACCAGAGGATGCAGCTGGTGAGGATCATAGCAGACAGCACCCACAGTGCAACAACGTAGCTACCGCTGGCGTCACGAACCACACCTGAGGAAGGTAAACTAGGGGTTAACAGAAAGACATAAATCACCCTAGCAATGGTGATGGAGAGGTAAGCCAGTGGAAGGCCTCGGTCAGATGATCAAAAGCTCCAGCTGCGGATCATCATATGACTAAGACCCACGTCAGGAAACACTTGTCTTGTTTTCTGGCAAACCTTTAGTAACATGGCAGTCACCAAACAGCATCGTAATGATTTGTTGTCAGGAAACGGGATAAGTGTCTACTGTCTCTTAGGTTTTCAGCCCATATAAAAGACAAAGAATTTCCACGTAGTGTTCTAAGATGGTTCCAGACGCAGGAACCCATCTGTCTCTCGCCCAATTTACACACTTACCGTCACGAAAGTGACTGCAATATTGAATTATACACAGGAAAAACTGATAACAGAGAACTTTTGAATCTACAACGAGACTACCTGCTGTGAGGAGCTATTTACTGCCATCTAAATTAAGAGCTTTTGTACATTATCTAGGCGCTTAAGGCAAGGATAATAATAATAATAATAATAATAATAATAATAATAATAATAATAATAATAATAAGAAGAAGAAGAAGAAGAAGAAGAAGAAGAGGTAACAGTAGTAGTAGTAGTCAAATAAGAATATACATATAACAATGAACATATACCTTAAACAGAAAATAAAAGGGACTGACCAATCAAGGGACCAATAGTGAAGAACCCGAAGGCCATCATGAAATTCCTGGCCCCGAACATAGCCGTGGTGTTAGACACCCCGACGATCCTGACCATGAGAAGGTTGCTAAGGCCATGGAAGGAGCCTGCTGCAATCCCCCACACACTCATCACTCCAGTCAGCCACACTACCTCCTCCTGCAATGTAAATACTACCACCAACAGTCAACTTAAAGACTATAAACGATATTTGTGCCCTCGAGAAGACTAAAAATTTAAACTCATGTTCGTAAAATGAAATATAACTTAAATAATCTAACCAATCATGGAACTAAGTCCCAAAAGAGTTCACAGGAGTACATTTGGATTTATATCTACATTTCATTTATCTGTTGCAAACAATTTTAGAAAAGTGAACTATAAATATAAATCCAAATGAACTCCTGTAAACTTTCCTGGGGCCTAGTTTCTAGGCCTTTTGTGCATCCATATGTTCTTGTGCTGCCGTCCACCGGAGAGAGACGGGGCACACAATAAACTAGCAGCCTTGGCGGCAATATCTAATCAGAGGATAAGGACAACACTTACCAATGATTGCGGTGCTCATGGTAGCCAGTCCTATCACATAACAGAGTCTCATATTGAACCAAGAATAGTCAGAAAGGAAGGAGACGGTCAGTCTGGTGAAGAAGTTACATATTCCGGCCACGGAGAGGCACCAGGCGGCTGTCTGCAGTGAGTGTCCTGCTGCTTGTATAGTAAAAGGCACCAGTACGTTGAAGTTTGCTTCTCCTCCAATAATCAGCATGGATCCCACGGCTATAATTAAGGAGGGAGGATGTCTTAGAATGGTGATATCTTTGACAGTGGCACGAAGAACCCGTAAAATGGTACTGAAAAGTTTATAGAAACAATTCTGACTTCTTTTCTTAGGTGAGGATGTTTTGAAGTTAGTTTTTGTTACATCTTCATTATTTTCTTCCTGAGGTAAGGATGTTGTCTTGACATTGTTTTTTGATAGATTCTCAATACGCAGTGTTGTCAAGGAACCAACAGAGTCTATGCTAGCTATGTCCCGGTCACAGATAATAGCATATGAGTTTTTACTAGAAGCAATAGATGTAAGCGAACATTGGCTTCCATGCCACCTTCTACTGCCTTCATGTGAATGAGTTCGTCCCTCTACGCCTGACCGCACACAATCTTCCTGCTGCAAAACAGAGACGATGGAACTGTCGCATTTTGTGATTTCTGAGTTCTCTTCTTGTGGCAAAATCAAAGAGATATTTTCATTGTTTGGGGAATCTCGCTCATGTTTGGGGTATTTCATGTGCCACTGAACTGGTTGGTAGAGAGTCGTACCCACGAACCCGTGAAGGAGGATGGCTCCAAGGATCATCGTAGCGCCCTGGAAACCATACTCGTCCTGTAGGTGCTCGATGAGAAGAGGACCCATGAAATTACCTAGCCCGATGCCAGCTGTCATACAGGTGTTTGCTAAGCCACGGTGTTTGTCAAAGTACTGAGCAATATTTAGGAAGCCCACACATGTTAGTCCACTTCCCAGACCTGGAGGATCACAAACTTTTGTTATAAACAACTTGGTGAATTTAACACTGTTAACTCTCAATTATGCGTCTATAAGAAAAATTCACGTTACAGTTCCTTGACTGGAATAATTCTCAAAAACCCACAAACTGAAATTAAACTAGACCCTTACGCCGGCCGACTGGGCTGCAATAAGCTGTATACAAGAAATCAGATACTCTGATCTCTGATATAGAGATTAAAGTTAACTCACAGAGCATTACACCAATATACATACACTTATCACTGAATATATCCTTGGGAATAAAAATTAATTCAGTAAAATAATATAGTATGCTACTGACCACATCCGAGTGAGAAAAACACGAAGAGGAGCACAGGAGAGGTGGCGAAGGCGCTGAAGGTGAGGCAGGAGGCATTGAGCAGTGACCCCGTCATGGCCACCTTCCTGAAGCCAAACTCTCGTGCCAGGGAGCCCACGATGACACCAGTCAGCTTCCATACTACCATGTAGGCGCTGTAGATGACAGCGACGGTGGTGCTGGACACTCGCCACTCCAGAAGTTGAGGAGAGAACAGAATACCGAAGGACGGGGACAACATCGGTATAGTTAACTGCAACAATGTTATCTGTACATAGCTAGACGTCTTACAGTCGATGTGCGATCCAAGACAGGTATCCCCGTGTCCCATAATCCCAGTTCCCTTTTTACCTCAGTGATCCAAGAAAGGAATTAAGTATTACGTTACCCCTTATCCCTGTACCTCAATACACACATTTTATATATTACATTTATTAGTATTGTAACTTCCGTCAGGAAATGTCTTGACACGGGTCTTAGACTTTCGACGACCCGATTTGTTGGTCAGATTTGTAAATGAAAATACCTTGATGTAGAATACTACTGACCACATCCAGGTGGAAATAAGAGTTAATTTATACACCCAATGTGGAAAATTTTGGATTTTCCTAAATTCAGTATGTGTAAATTTGAATAATATAATAATCGTGTATTAAAATGTGATCCTGATTTGACCCTTTGAGAAATTTCGAATGAAGGGGGAATGTGGAACAGCCGCAAAGTGGATGGGGAGGACACCCCAGTGAAACTGAATGTATGAACTCTGGTCTGTTAGTAGTGTAATGTAATCAGGCGTCATCAAAGTTAATCTGGTGTATACTGGTCTCAGTCTGTAATTTAGAAATTTCCGACACGTTCCCACTGAAGAATTGGGATAAAAAGTGTGGAAAACCCTTACAATTCAGCAACAAGGACGGAAAAATAGAGAACTCCAATTCTTCCCAGCAGCATCCCTTAGCTAAGTGATGCTTACCCATAACGTATAGTAGCTTTGCGGTGGCCATCGTAAACTCTAGCTGTTAGGGTAGCGTTAGCGTGTGTTACACAAATAATTGTGATCCAGTAATTAAATGGTAAGTGGTAAAACGAATTTCTTTCCTGATAACACTATTGCATTACATGTATTGTACTAATAGTTATATTTTGCGTACCCAGCAAGTAAACCAAAATATACAGTCCACATAATTTGAATTTACCAGAGTAGCTGGTTTTAATTTTGCAATTATTAATTTAATGTCAGGTTTAGCATTTTGTGAGTGGTGATGGAGTGGGCGTCGAGGGAGTGACAGTTCTGTGATCTACTGTGACTAAGTCTCGCTTACCTTACCCAAATTACTTGCACGTAATAATTTAGGTAATACCTTATAAACCTCCAGCAGGTAATTTCTAACATAATAATTCATACCCAAATTCTTAAAACTTCCATTAAAATTCAGTCTCTTTAACTTGTAATGTTTTGCCTTAGCCCTGTATAGTAAGCAAAGGATCTATTCTCGGTATCCAAGGGAATTAATTATAATGGAACTCCAAGAATAACCAGGAGAGCGTACAAACTCTAAATAAATATTTATAAATGTTTCTGCAAAATCGATATATGTATTTTTTTGTTACTCACCGCATTTAAGAAGGCGCCCACAGTTATCATCCAGCCCCAGCCTCCGTCAGGAGGTCGAAGACCCTCCTTCTGGTGCTGATCCTGCAGGCACTGCACATCCTGTTGCTGCTGTTTCTCCTGTGGCTGGTCTGTCTCCTGTTCCTGCTGCTGCTGTTTTTGCTTCTGTTGCACTCCTAGGCGCTGCTGCCTCTCCTCGTCAGCAGCTGTTCTGAGGTCCTCTTTGCTGCTGTGCCGATGATCGTCCGTCACTCTTGCCTTGTCTGACGAAGACTCCATGGAGATGGGAGCCATAGTCATGCGAGGAGGTTATCACCTACCCACTAATAACTCCCCAAAACGTTCACTACATTAACATCTCAAGCCACAAACAGTACTCTCGCTCTTGCTACATATTCCACTCGTAACATGAAAAAAAAAGCTCATTAACTGGGAAAAATAGCTAAGACACTGTCGCTGGGTTACTTAACTAACAACAGACTAAATACCGCCACGACCTACGCAAGATAACTCATGTATCAGCCACTCAAGATTACTAATATAAATGCCTTCTGCTTATGTTTTGATTACCGATTAAATATTCCATTCGTCATCGTTTACTGGTAATTTCTTGTAATCTCAGTACTATGTTACTGTAATTTAATCTTGGATAATTAAATTCCGAATTTATCACAGACGGGGTGGCAGAAGTGGGTTATCTAATTGGCTTCAGGAAGAAATCCAAATAATTTTCCTCCAAGCCTTCTTCATATTATATATATATATATATATATTATATATATATATATATATATTATATATATATATATATATATATATATATATATATTATATATATATATATAATATGCAAAACAACAATAGGAGAGTCTGCAACCATTGCAACCAACTCTGTAGACACTACTAGCACGTTGTTGGGGTGCATTCTTTATCAGGATGCTGCACACGAGAATCACTCCCTATAAAAGCAAAAGACTCGGCAGGAGATGCAACATTCCCCCAATGAAAAGCAGGGGCGCCACGAGTACATTGAGAGACAACACAACAAGTGTCCGGGGTCCAAGATCGTTCAACTGACTGCCAGCATATATAAGGGGAATTACCAACAGACCCCTGGCTGTCTTCAAAAAGGCACTGGGCAGGCGCCAAAAGTCAGTACCTGACCAGCCGGGCTGTGGTTCGTACGTCAGCTTACGTGCGGCCAGTAGTAACAGCCTGATTGATCTGACCTTGATCCACCGTGAGGCTTGGTCTCAGACCGAGCCGCGGGGGCGTTGACCCCCGAAACCTTCCCCAGGTAAACCGTCCGTGAATATTGAGCAGTTATATCATTTTTTTTTTATATTTTATTTAAAACATTACAACACAACGAATATATATAAAAATCACAACCCCTTGTCAAACAGGTATACAATAAGGACTTCATAATCACAGTACATCATGTAAATTGTGCGGCTACTCACAGTTATATAATTAAAATCTAAGGGGAAGCGTTATAACCCAGGAGATTAGGTACAGCGCCTGGGGGAAGGTGGTTGTGGACAAGTCATTCAGGCTTAATCGGGAACTGGAGCACAGAATCAATTTCCATAAATCAAAGCCCCTCACCAACATCAGGAACCTTCCTTGAGGGGGCGAATACCACAGTCGCATAAACACTTGCAAGCGACAGTAATGTTTATAATCCACATAAAAGGACACATCACTTAATAGGTTTATGGCCCAATATGTCATCCTACCACAAAAATACACCAAAATACATGCTATATGAAATCATATACCCTACCTCCAACACCACAATAGATCCGAAATAATCACATAGCTCGACCTATAGTATATATGTTTAGGAACATAAACAGTACTTCTGTTTTAAAATAATGGTACGACTGCAACCATTACGACACCTAATTAACAATAACGTCTGTGTCACAGCACATCATATCGTACTAGTTTACCAGATCTTCATGAGACCCACCTACCACCCGCACACAGGCGGGTGTGTTAAAATTTAACAGAAATAGACAGTTACCTAAACACTGGTCAAAGGACAATGCAAACACCACCACCACCAGGTTTCCACCTCGGGGAGAACCAAAATCAACTGTACATAGGCTGTATTAATAAAATATAGTGATGATCAAACTTAACGGGTCCCTAAATAAAATATATTCGTTCACCCAAAATTTATAGAAAGAAAACTGATGCCAACAATAGTTTAAGAAAACGAATTTAATATGCTAGACTATTATATATCACCGATTTTTTTTTCTTTTAAATTTAAGTTTGGTAAATTTGTATTTAGGTCTTTCATAATCTTAAATATTTACAGTAGTTGTTTATAGTAAATTGTTAAGAGTTTAACCCCTGAATATCGATCTGGTTATCTCCACTAACCTTAGTATTTTATAATCTCCTCTCTTGATAACGAGGTACTTTATCAATCCTACAAGCTGCTAAGAGAACACTTGGTCTCCACCTTCCAACACCCTCACTCACTACTGCTATTTCTACACTACCTCGTACCTCTACCTCACAGGCATACAATATCTTTCCCGAGTTGTTCATAATTAGCTTTCTTTTGATTTGTATGACTTTAAAAGAATAGTTACTTAATCTCACCGAGTTTAATTCTTTCCTAGTCAAATCTGCATGTGGTTAGGTTGTCTTAAGTCCTCTAATTATTGGTTTTAACCTTGACAGTTTAGAAGACAAAATCAGTACTAATCGGTACTTGGGAAGACTTGATTCTGCCCAACCTGAACCAATTTATTTCTGAAGGACATTAACTCTTTTGCAGGGAGTTTGATGGACCTGTGATCAATAAACAGTCTGTCACGAATTGAACTGAAGAATATTATTTAATATACTTTTCAAAGAATCCTGGACTCTCATCAGCACGCCCTGGCATGGTTGTCATTCCTCTGTCAGAGTGAACACGATTTAGATGCTGTCAGCTTTCGTCCAGCTTAGCATATTATATGGATATAATTAATGCAACATGTATTCTTTACATAAGACATTCACATCACCTGACGTGATATTTAAGTTCTTGGGGGAACCGAAGCCAGCGGAATACATTGGTCATAGTACCCAAAGCTCCAGTTTGTTGGTAATGGCACCCACGCACATGTATCCATATTCATGATTATTCAATTTTACAATATAATAAGATTTAAAAGAGTTCACACGAGGGAAGCATCCGCCTTCTCCCCTATCTCTTTCCTTAGGCGTTGGTCGTAGGCCTGGGCGGCAGGCATGAATAACCAGAGGATGCAGCTGGTGAAGATCATAGCAGACAGCACCCACATTGTGATAATGTAGCTACCGCTGGCGTCACGAACCACACCTGAGGAAGGTAAACTAGGGGTTAACAGAAAGACATAAATCACCCTAACAATGATGATGGAGGGGTAAGCCAGTGGAAGGCTCCAGCTGAGGGTTATCATATGTGAAAATTTGTCTGGACTGCTTCCATGTGAGTTGTCTACCCTGGCAAGCTCTGTTGACACCGAGCCCTGAGGTCGGTACCTCAGCCTCACAAGTGGCTTATAGGACAGATTTTCATAAATGACTGATGTTGCAAGAAACCTCACCTGCATGCACGTATAAAGGACTAACTTACTTGGTGTTGGAGAATCTATTCTGGTCTTCAACCTCCCTAAGCTTTAGCCCCATGGACTTCCCCTCAGAACCACGTCCAACCGGGAGCCTTAATTCCTGCAATATTCATTCGTTATTAGTGACCTGCCTGCACCTCAGAAATTCCTATTTCCAAGGGGGGTGTAATCCCCTAGACTAACTATGCAGAGAGTGACACTAGCTTCTAGGCTGACAAGAGACACCGGTATATACTGGTCATGAACTGCCGGCTGCACAGAGGCCACAACACGACTCACTCGCAATTTTCCCCAGACACTGGCCAGGATCCTAAGAAAAAAGGGAGGTCTTGTCTTACTGTATGGGCCTGATGGAGGAGGACATCTACAGTGCGTTGAGGTGCCTCCACCAGATTTCCCCAGATCTAGTATGTGAAGACACGTGGGGGTGCCGCCTGCTGATCACGGCACTTGCTGCTTACTCCGATACGGTAAACACCAGGAAATCAAAACTTCATCAGAGTACAAAACAAATTCCAGCCAAAAAAGAGCGAAAAACCAACGTCAAAGACCTGGGAGTGATCATGTTGGAGGATCTCACCTTCAAGGACCTTAACATTATAACAATTGCAGCTGCTAGAAAAATGACAGGATGGATAATAGAACCTTCAAAACTAGGGATGCCAAGCCCATGATGACACTCTTCAGGTCGCTTGTTCTATCTAGGCTGGAATATTGCTGCACACTAACAGCACCTTTCAAGGCAAGTGAAATTGCTGACCTAGAAAATGTACGGAGAATCTTCACAGCGCACATAACGGAGATAAAACACCTCAATTACTGGGGCGCTTAAAGTTCCTGAACCTGTATTCCCTGGTATGCAGGCGGGAGAGATACATGATTATATACACCTGGAAAATCCTAGAGGGACTAGTACCGAACTTGCACACGAAAATCACTCACAACGAAAGCAAAAGACTTGGCAGACGATGCAACATCCCCCCAATGAAAAGCAGGGGTGTCACTAGCACATTAAGAGACCATACAATAAGTGTCAGGGGCCCAAGACTGTTCAACTGCCTCCCAGCATACATAAGGGGGATTACCAATAGACCCCTGGGAGTCTTCAAGCTGGCACTGGACAAGCGCCTAAAATCAGTACCTGACCAGCCGTGCTGTGGCTCGTACGTTGGATTGTGTGCAGCCAGCAGTAACAGCCTGGTTGATCAGTCTCTGATCCACCAGGAGGCCTTGTCACAGACTGGGCCGCAGGGGCGTTGACCCCTGGAACTCTCTCCAGGTAAACTCCAGGTAAACAATGGTGTCTAGTCTTAGAAGAAAGCACGGCAGTCTCAATGCACTGCATCCCAGTATTAAAACTTGGCTTGCCAGTTCTCCCTGGCTAACATAACCTAGTGTTTGCCTACATTAACGGCCTATTACTACCTACATTAAGGTCTTAGGTCTACATTATTATTATCTACAGTTGCCTCAATAATCCTAATATTAGCATACTAACAGTATAAACTACCTACTTCTTCCCTGAAGGGTAAATCTATCAATTAAGAAGTACCTTCCAACCACCTTCGCCAATAAACTTACGCTTAACACTGACAAAACTTACTATATTATGTTTGATAGCAGAGCAGGAGATGCACAAATTAACATTAAGATTGACAACACTCTAATTACCAGAAATAATGGGGGAAAATTCCTAGGCTTATACCTTGACAACAACCTGAATTTCAGCACCCATATCCAGCATATAGCCAAAAAAGTATCCAAAACGGTTGGGATCCTCTCCAAGATACGATACTACGTGCCGCAAAATGCCCTTCTCACACTATACCACTCACTTATTTATCCATACCTCACCTATGCTATTTGTGCTTGGGATCAACTGCAGCAACACACCTAAAGCTAATAATAACCCAACAAAAAGCTGCAGTAAGAATATCACTAAATCCCATCCCTGGCAGCACACCCCCCCACTCTTCAAAGATCTAAACTTACTCCCAGTTCAGTACATCCACACTTACTACTGTGCAATCTATATCTACAGGGCCTTAAACTCTAATATCAACCTGCCCCTAAAACGCTTTCTTGATAGTTGTGACAAAAACCCACAGGCATAACACCAGACAAAAACATATCTACGACATTCCCCGTGTCCGACAAAACCTTTACAAAAATTCAATGTATGTAAAAGGCCCTAAAACTGGAATACCCTCCCTGAGAACTCTAGAACTGCAGACACATTCATCACCTTCAAAACTCCCATTAGAAAACATCTTATCTCCCTGATACACCCGTCAACTAACTACACGAATCCACCTGAGTGGTTCACAATACACTCGCTCACTCATTTGACCATAAACAGAATATAATCTCAATCTAAAATAATGAATCCTGTGATACTCCAATACTGAAACTATATACTGTGCCAAAACAAAGCATTCACATTGCTAAACTCATTAACTAGTATTTAGTCACTTAGCCATAAGACCAACTTACCTCATAATTTGTAATATTTTACAATTAAGAATAAAACTAAGTATGCCCGAAATGCCTAGCCATGCTAAGCGTTCTAGTGGTACACTCTGTAATCACAATTTTACTACATGTAAACCAAACAATAACCAAATTTCTGTAAACTCAGCATTGTAATCCTTATAGAGAATAAACTTTGAATTTGAATTTGAATTGAAACCCGGGTGTGTGTGTGTTTTGGTTGGCTTTAAGGGCCACCCTATCCAGCTGTTCCTTACACGGCCATGCTGGGATCTTTGTACGCCGTAGCTGTCCTGTGGAACTTTAGGGACCGAATAAATTTCCACATCATATAACTAAGACCCGCGTCAGGAAACACTTGTCTTGTTTTCTAACAAACCTTTAGTAACATGACAGAGAATCACCAAACAGCATTGTAGTGGTTTGTTGTCAGGAAACGGGATGTCTACCGTCTCTTAGGTTTTCACCCCATATATAAGACAAAGAATTACCATTACTAAGATGGTTCCAGACGTAGGAACCCATCTGTCACTCGACCAATTTACACTCTTCCTGTCACGAAAGTGACTGTAATGAAGAAGAAGAGGTAATAGTAGTAGTAGTCAAATAAGAATATACATAAAACAATGAACATATACGTTTAAAAAAAGATCTTAAAAAGAAGATAAAATCGACTGACCGATCAAGGGACCAATAGTGAAGAACCCGAAGGCCATCATGAAATTCCTGGCCCCGAACATAGCCGTGGTGTTAGACACCCCGACGATCCTGACCATGAGAAGGTTGCTAAGGCCATGGAAGGAGCCTGCTGCAATCCCCCACACACTCATCACTCCAGTCAGCCACACCACCTCCTCCTGCAATGTAAATACTACCACCAAGAGTCAACTTAAAGACTATAAACGATATTTGTGCCCTCGAGAAGACTAAAAATTTAAACTCATGTTCGTAAAATTGAAATATAACTTAAATAATCTAACCTTTCATGGAACTAAGTCCCAAAAGAGTTTACTGAAGTACATCTGGATTTATATCTACATTTATATTTATATCTGCCTTTAAGTGAACTATAAATAAAAATCCAGATGAACTCCTGTAAATCTTTCTGGGGCCTAGTTTCTAGGCCTTTTGCGCATCCATATGTTCTTGTGCTGCCGTCCACAGGATAGAGACGGGGTACACAATAAACTAGCAGCATTAGTGGCAAAATCTAATCAGAGGATAAAAAAAAAAGGAGAAAACTTACCAATGATTGCGGTGCTCATGGTAGCCAGTCCTATCAAATAACAGAGTCTCATGCTGAACCAAGAATAGTCAGAAAGGAAGGAGACGGTTAGTCTGGAGAAGAAGTTACATATTCCGGCCCCGGAGAGGCACCAGGGGGCTGTCTGCAGCGAGTATCCTGCTGCTTGTATAGTAAAAGGCACCAGTACGTTGAAGTTTGCTTCTCCTCCAACATTCAGCATGAATTTCCAGGGCTAAAATTAAGGCGGGAGGATGTCTTAGAATAGTCATGTCTTTGACAATGCCACGAAGGACCCGTAAAATGGTACTGAAAAGTTTACAGAAACATCCCGACTTTTTTTCTTAGGTAAGATGTTGTGTTGAAGTTAATTTTTGTTACATCTTCATTATTTTCTTCCTGAGGTAAGGATGTTGTCTTGACATTGTTTTTTGATAGATTCTCAATACGCAGTGTTGTCAAGGAACCAACAGTCTATGCTAGCTATGTCCCGGTCACAGATAATAGCATATGAGTTTTTACTAGAAGCATAGATGTAACGAACATTGGCTTCCATGCCACCTTCTACTGCCTTCATGTGAATGAGTTCGTCCCTCTACGCCTGACCGCACACAATCTTCCTGCTGCAAAACAGAGACGATGGAACTATCGCATTTTGTGATTTCTGAGTTCTCTTCTTGTGGCAAAATCAAAGAGACATTTTCATTGTTTGGAGAATCTCGCTCACGTTTGGGGTATTTCATGTGCCACTGAACTGGTTGGTAGAGAGTCGTACCCACGAACCCGTGAAGGAGGATGGCTCCAAGGATCATCGTAGTGCCCTGGAAACTATATTCGTCCTGTAGGTACTTGATGAGAAGAGGACCCATGAAATTACCTAGCCCGATGCCAGATGTCATAAAGGTGTTTGCTAAGCCACGGTGTTTGTCAAAATACTGAGCAATTTTTAGGAAGCCCACACTCGTTAGTCCACTTCCCAGACCTGGAAGATCACAAAACTTTAGTTATAAACAACTTGGTGAATTTAACACTGTTAACTCTCAATTATGCGTCTATAAGAAAAATTCACGTTACAGTTCCTTGACTGGAATAATTCTCAAAAACCCACAAACTGAAATTAAACTAGGCGCTTACGCCGGCTGACTGGGCCAAACATCGTTTGGGTTTCTCATGAAGAGAGAGAAAAAAGAATTATCTTCACATAACTGGTTGGTTAACTGGGCTATAAAGTCAGTCTACTACAAAAGGGTCATTCAGACTGAGTTTAACCTCACTACCAGTCAAGAATAAAGTAAACGTTTGTATACATACTGATATATGTATACAAGTGTACATGAACTGTCACTCTTAGTGTATACACATACAAATTGGTTTCTTGGTTAATTAGGTTTATAGTCTATTGACTGCACGAAGGTCATTAAGGCTGCAGTAAGCTGTACACAAGAAATCAGAGATACTCTGATATAGAGATTAAAGTTAATTCACAGAGCATGTACACTGATATACATACACTTATTGCTGAATATATCCTTGTGAATAAAAGCTAATTCAATAAAATAATATAGGATGCTACTGACCACATCCGAGTGAGAAAAACACGAAGAGGAGCACAGGAGAGGTGGCGAAGGCGCTGAAGGTGAGGCAGGAGGCAATGAGCAGTGACCCCGTCATGGCTACCTTCCTGAAGCCAAACTCTCGTGCCAGGGAGCCCACGGTGACACCAGTCAGTTTCTTTACTACCATGTAGGCGCTGTAGATTACAGTGACGGTGGTGCTGGACACTCGCCACTCCAGAAGTTGAGGAGAGAACAGGATACCGAAGGACGGGGACAACATCGGTGTAGTTAACTGCAACAATGTTATCTGTACATAGCTAGACATCTTACTGTCGATTTGTGATCCAAGAAAGGTATTCCCGCGTCCCTATAATCCCAGTTCCCTCTACCTTAGTCCTGTATAGTAAGCAAAGGATCTATTCTCGGCATGCCAAGGGAATTGATTATAATGGAATTCCAAGAATAACCAGGAGAGCGTACAAACTCTAAATATTTATAAATGTTTCTGCAAAATCAATATATTTTTTGTTACTCACCGAATTTAGGAAGACGCCGAGAGTTATCATCCAGCCCCAACCTCCGTCAGGAGGTCGAGGACCCTCCTGCTGGTGCTGATCCTGCAGGCACTTCACATCCTGTTGTTGCTGTGTCTCCTGTTCCTGCTGCTGCTGTTTTTGCATCCGTTGCACCCCTAGGTGCTGTTGGCTCTCCTCGTCAGCAGCTGTTCTGAGGTCCTCTTTGCTGCTGTGCCGATGATCGTCCGTCACTCTTGCCTTGTCTGACGAAGACTCCATGGAGATGGGAGCCATAGTCATGCGAGGAGGTTATCACCTACCCACTAATAACTCCCCAAAACGTTCACTACATTAACATCTCAAGCCACAAACAGTACTCTCGCTCTTGCTACATATTCCACTCGTAACATGAAAAAAAAAGCTCATTAATTGGGAAAAATAGCTAAGACACTGTCGCTGGGTTACTTAACTAACAACAGACTAAATACCGCCACAACTTATACAAAATAACTCATGTATTAACCACTCAAGATTATAAACATCAATGCCTTCTGCTTATGTGTTGACTGCTGATTAAATATTTCATGTGTCATCGTTTTCTGGTAATTTGTGGTAATCTCAGTGCACTGTCAGCATAATTTAATCTGGAATAATCAAACTCCGCAGTTATAATAGACGAGGTGGCAGAAGTAGGAGAGAGAGAAGCCTGAGCTTGCTATCACCTGCAGCTCACAAGACTGCCATCCCCACGGGGGATGGGGCAGGGCAGATGGCAGACCAGAGGCCTAGCTTCTCCCTACGAGCCCCGTGAGGGCGGGGACTGTGGCTAGGCCTGGGGACACTTGGTCCCAAAGATGAGGGGGGTACTTGTACCTCCTCCCATGGGAGACTTAAGTCTCGAGACTCTCCCCAGATAGGGAGCCAAGGCCGGGTCACCACTACTTGGAAAAGACCCGGGCCGGGAGAATACCGGCGAATAAAAAAAAAGAGAAAAATACTTCTTCTCATATATATCTCTGAAGTAACTTTCCAATGTATATCCACCACGAGGCATACGCCTCTCGATGTATATAATAATAATAATAATAATAATAATAATAATAATAATAATAATAATAATAATAATAATAATAATAATAATAATAATAATAATAATAATTTTTATTCTGGATCATTTACAAATCTTGTACAATGTTTGTGAGATTATTTCAATGTTTTACATGCACAATAATGGTTCATTATCCGTTAGCAATCAGTTATATCATAACCATAATTTTTAAAGGGGGTGGAGGGGTTAGCCAGCGGAAGGCCTCCATCAAAGTTCGATTTTCTTACCACACACGATATTACACTTTCACGTCATGACCCATAAATAAAAATTTGAAATATCATCTGAGGTTTATAATATACAATAAATATTAAAACAGCTTTCAATAAACTCTCTCTCTCTCTCTCTCTCTCTCTCTCTCTCTCTCTCTCTCTCTCTCTCTCTCTCTCTCTTCTCTCTCTCTCTCTCTCTCTCTCTCTCTCTCTCTCTCTCTCTCTCTCTCAAGTCTTTATATAGTGGGGTTTTTTTGGTTAATACGACTGAAAAAAATCTCACACAAAATATAACAGCTGGTAAAAAAAAGAGTTCACTGTACGTGATATACATTGTAGATATATGTATATGTGTTATATATAAAATTTTACACTGGGCTTTTGAGCTGTCCTGCGGCAGTCATGGTTTATGGAGACTGGAACCGTAAACCAGGACAGGAAGCTGGCTAGAGTGATGGCAGCCAGGACCCACATGCTGACCAAGTAACTACCACTCGCATCCCGGATCATTCCTGCCAAAGTGGGTAAATTTTAGTTTAATATCTTGTTGAAAATAAGAAAAAGTTTTGGAGTGAGATTAACAAGTTAAGGAAGCCTAGAGAACAAATGGATTTGTCAGTTAAAAATAGGAGAGGCGAGTTATTAAATGGAGAGTTAGAGGTATTGGGAAGATGGAGGGAATATTTTGAGGAATTGTTAAATGTTAATGAAGATAGGGAAGCTGTGATTTCGTGTATAGGGAAAGGAGGAATAACATCTTGTAGGAGTGAGGAAGAGCCAGTTGTGAGTGTGGGGGAAGTTCGTGAGGCAGTAGGTAAAATGAAAAGGGGTAAGGCAGCCGGGATTGATGGGATAAAGATAGAAATGTTAAAAGCAGGTGGGGATATAGTTTTGGAGTGGTTGGTGCAATTATTTAATAAATGTATGGAAGAGGGTAAGGTACCTAGGGATTGGCAGAGAGCATGCATAGTTCCTTTATATAAAGGCAAAGGGGACAAAAGAGAGTGCAAAAATTATAGGGGGATAAGTCTGTTGAGTGTACCTGGTAAAGTGTATGGTAGAGTTATTATTGAAAGAATTAAGAGTAAGACGGAGAATAGGATAGCAGATGAACAAGGAGGCTTTAGGAAAGGTAGGGGGTGTGTGGACCAGGTGTTTACAGTGAAACATATAAGTGAACAGTATTTAGATAAGGCTAAAGAGGTCTTTGTGGCATTTATGGATTTGGAAAAGGCGTATGACAGGGTGGATAGGGGGGCAATGTGGCAGATGTTGCAGGTGTATGGTGTAGGAGGTAGGTTACTGAAAGCAGTGAAGAGTTTTTACGAGGATAGTGAGGCTCAAGTTAGAGTATGTAGGAAAGAGGGAAATTATTTCCCAGTAAAAGTAGGCCTTAGACAAGGATGTGTGATGTCACCGTGGTTGTTTAATATATTTATAGATGGGGTTGTAAGAGAAGTAAACGCTAGGGTCTTGGCAAGAGGCGTGGAGTTAAAAGATAAAGAAATACACATAAAGTGGGAGTTGTCACAGTTGCTCTTTGCTGATGACACTGTGCTCTTGGGAGATTCTGAAGAGAAGTTGCAGAGATTGGTGGATGAATTTGGTAGGGTGTGCAAAAGAAGAAAATTAAAAGTGAATTCAGGAAAGAGTAAGGTTATGAGGATAACAAAAAGATTAGGTGATGAAAGATTGGATATCAGATTGGAGGGAGAGAGTATGGAGGAGGTGAATGTATTCAGATATTTGGAGTGGACGTGTCAGCAGGATGGGTCTATGAAAGATGAGGTGAATCATAGAATTGATGAGGGGAAAAGGGTGAGTGGTGCACTTAGGAGTCTGTGGAGACAAAGAACTTTGTCCTTGGAGACAAAGAACTTTGTCCTTGGAGGCAAAGAGGGGAATGTATGAGAGTATAGTTTTACCAACGCTCTTATATGGGTGTGAAGCATGGGTGATGAAATGTTGCAGCGAGGAGAAGGCTGGAGGCAGTGGAGATGTCATGTCTGAGGGCAATGTGTGGTGTGAATATAATGCAGAGAATTCGTAGTTTGGAAGTTAGGAGGAGGTGCGGGATTACCAAAACTGTTGTCCAGAGGGCTGAGGAAGGGTTGTTGAGGTGGTTCGGACATGTAGAGAGAATGGAGCGAAACAGTGACTTCAAGAGTGTATCAGTCTGTAGTGGAAGGAAGGCGGGGTAGGGTCGGCCTAGGAAAGGTTGGAGGGAGGGGTAAAAGAAGGTTTTGTGTGCGAGGGCTTGGACTTCCAGCAGGCATGCGTGAGCGTGTTTGATAGGAGTGAATGGAGACAAATGGTTTTTAATACTTGACGTGCTGTTGGAGTGTGAGCAAAGTAACATTTATGAAGGGGTTCAGGGAAACCGGCAGGCCGGACTTGAGTCCTGGAGATGGGAAGTACAGTGCCTGCACTCTGATGGAGGGGTGTTAATGTTGCAGTTTAAAAACTGTAGTGTAAAGCACCCTTCTGGCAAGACAGTGATGGAGTGAATGATGGTGAAAGTTTTTCTTTTTCGGGTCACCCTGCCTTGGTGGGAATCGGCCAGTGTGATAATAAAAAATAAATCTTTGTTATGTACCCCATACCCATCCTGTGAGCGGTAGTCACCCCATACCCATCCTGTGAGCGGTAGTCACCCCATACCCATCCTGTGGGCGGTAGTCACCCCATACCCATCCTGTGAGCGATAGTCACCCCATACCCATCCTGTGGGCGGTAGTCACCCCATACCCATCCTGTGAGCGGTAGTCACCCCATACCCATCCTGTGAGCGGTAGTCACCCATACTCATCCTGTGAAGGGTAGTCACCCGCATACCCATCCTGTGGGCGATAGTCACCCCATACCCACCCTGAGGGCGGGTGTCACCCCATACCCATCTGTGAGCGGTAGTCACCCCATACTCAACCTGTGGATCGGAGTCACCCCATACCCATCCTGTGGCGGTAGTCACCCCATCCCCATCTGTGAGCGGTAGTCACCCCATACCCTTTCCTGTGAGGTAGTACCCATACCCATCCTGTGGGCGGTAGTCACCCCATACCCATCCTGTGAGCGGTAGTCACCCCATACCCATCCTGTGAGCGGTAGTCACCCCACACCCATCCTGTGAGCGGTAGTCACCCCATACCCATCCTGTGAGCGGTAGTCACCCCCATACCCATCCTGTGAGCGGTAGTCACCCATACCCATCCTGTGAGCGGTAGTCACCCCACACCCATCCTGTGAGCGGTAGTCACCCCACACCCATCCTGTGAGCGGTAGTCACCCCATACCCATCCTGTGGGCGGTAGTCACCCCATACCCATCCTGTGGGCGGTAGTCACCCCATACCCATCCTGTGGGCGGTAGTCACCCCATACCCATCCTGTGAGCGGTAGTCACCCCATACCCATCCTGTGGGCGGTAGTCACCCCATACCCATCCTGTGAGCGGTAGTCACCCCATACCCATCCTGTGAGCGGTAGTCACCCCATACCCATCCTGTGAGCGGTAGTCACCCCATACCCATCCTGTGGCGGTAGTCACCCCATACCCATCCTGTGAGCGGTAGTCACCCCATACCCATCCTGTGAGCGGTAGTCACCCCATACCCATCCTGTGAGCGGTAGTCACCCCATACCCATCCTGTGGGCGATAGTCACCCCATACCCATCCTGTGGGCGGTAGTCAAAAGACTACAGAGGTACATAATGGGTCCAGGACTGAACCTGGTTTAGTAAGGTTATTTAGATACAGGTACACGTAAGTACAGTAAGAACATAAAAGGCACAGTACTGTGACTGGAGCAGTACACAAATAACCCGCACATAGGAGAGAGGAGCTTACCACGACGTTCTGGACCGACTTGGACCATTTACAGTCATATTTTCTATGACTTTGTATGACAAAGTCATACTTTGTAAATGGTCCAAGTCGGACCGATACGTCGTCGTAAGCTCATCTCTCTTATGTGCGGGTTATTTGTGTACAAATACCAGGAGAGGGTTCGGGGGTCAACGCCCCCCTGCCCGGTCCAAGATTAGGCCTCGTAGTGGGTCACGGGTCTGATCAACTAGGTTGTTACTGCTGGCTGCACGCAAACTGACGTATGAACCATAGCCCGGCTGGTCAGGTACTGACTTTAGGTGCCTGTTCAACGCCTTCTTGAAGACAGCCAGGGGTCTATTGGTAATCCCCCTTATGTATGTTGGGAGGCAGTTGAACAATCTTGGGCCCCTGATACTTAATGTGTTGTGCTGGTAGGTTGGTTTATTAGGCTTGATGCTGGTAAACTGGTTTAATAGTTAATTTAAATTGTTTATACATAAAGTGAGAGATAAAAAACACTTCATATATTTAAATTGCATTAAAATAATTTAGCAAGTTAATTTAACCCAGCTATAATTTAATTTAACCCAGCTATAATTTAATTTAACCCAGCTATAATTTAATTTAACCCAGCTATAATTTAATTTAACCCAGCTATAATTTATCAAGGTGCCAGAGCCAGAGCTTGCTACCACCTGCAGCTCACAAGACTGCCATTCCCACGAGCCCCTTGGGGCGGGAAAGATGGCAGATCAGGTGCCTAGCTTCTCCCTACGAGCCCCGTGAGGGCAGGGAATGGGGCTAGGCCTGGAGACAGTGGGTCCCAGAAGATTAGAAGGTACTTGTACCTCCTCCCATGGCAGACATAGGTCTCAGACACTCCCAAGACAGAGCCAAGGCCGGGTCACCATCTGGTAAAGACCCGGGACGGAAGAGTACTGGCGAATCAAGAATTACCAGTGAATTAAAAAAAAATGTCTTTACATTTGTACAATTCTTATCATCTTAGGATGCACTACCATACACTGATATTTTTTTATATAAAATGGTTTGTGAGACCCATCTGAGGTATGCCAGCAGGTGTTTAACCTGTTACAGGTCATCTGGTAAAGACCCACGTCAAGAGACGTGTTTTATCCCTGTTTTATCACTGTTTTATCCCTGACGAATAGAAACCATCATCCCTATACTTGCCGATTAGTGGTCCAACGGAGAAAAAGCCGAGGGCTCCTAGGAAGTTCTTGGCCCCATACATAGAGGTGAGGTTAGAGAGGCCGACAATCTGGGTGATGAGGAGGTTGCTAAGACCGAAGAAGGTGCCGATGGCACACCCGATGACGCCCATCAGTCCCACCTGCCACCCAGACTTCGTCTGTAATGTGAATACTAATAGAGAATTAGTCCGTTTATTATTATTAGACCGGGCTGCGGGGGCAGTTACCTCCAGAACACCCTACAGGCATACCACCCAGAGAATTGGAGGAAAAGAACAAAAAGGCACAATATTGTGACTGGAACAATACACAGATAACCCGCACATAGGAGAGAGGAGCTTATGACGACGTCTCGGTCAGAGTCGGACCGAAACGTTGCCGTAAGCTTCTCCCTTCTATGTGCTGGTTATTTATGTAATGAGAGGTAATGTTTCAAATTCTAGATTGAAAATGGTGTATTCGGAATAAATAAATATAAATCTGAGCGTAAATGGAAGTTTAATCCTCATTGGATATTTGAGGGACCACCTGTCGTAGATTGGAGAATTTACTGCAGCGGGACAGAAAACGCAGTTTGTCTCACTTTAAAACACTTTATGGAGTTGTACCTACCAATGATTGATATTCCCAGGGTAGCAATGGCAGTCATGTAGCAGAGTCTCATCCTGAACCAAGGGAAGTCTGAGAGGGCAGACACACACAGTCTGGTGATGAAGTTACATATACCAGCTACAGATATACACAGGGCTGCCGTTTCTAGAGAGTGACCCGCATCCTGTATAGCGAATGGTACCAGCACAGTGAAGTTAGCCTCTCCATTAACAACCAGAGTTGATGCTAAGGCTATGATTAGACAGGAAGGATGTCTCAAGATGCGAATGTCATTTATGACTGAGCAAACCACGCGATATGATGGTGCTCCAGATAGCACATATGCAGTTCACACCTCTTTCAGCTGACGTAGCCTTATCATTAGCCTGAGTGTTGGAGTTAGCAAAGGGCAGATCACACAGGTTTGCATCAGCCTTGTCTGAGGTTAAAGATTCATGCTCCTGAAAACTCATAATGGTGTCTTTACATCCGTTCACATTCTGTAAGTATGTTGGCGTAAGGAACTTTGGCTTTTTGAGCTTGCCCAGCTGAGTATTGAAACCACTTGAGCCACCACCTCTTAAACTTCTGTCACCGGAGCTCTTCGGCTCTGGTACAAGAGCATCAGCATCCTCAGAATCATCAAGAGATGCTTTCCTTTGGGAACCTCTCTGATGCCACTCTACTGGATGGAACAAAGCAGCGCCCACAAAGCCATGAAGGATGATAACTCCGATGATCATGGTAGCACCTTTGAAGCCATATTTGTCCTGCAGGAGGCGGATGAGCAATGGACTAATGAAGTGGCCGAGTCCAGCGCCGGCCATGAGGTAGGTGTTGGCGAGACCTCTGTGTCTCTGGAAATACTGGGCCAGGATGAGGTAACCTACACAGGACAAGCCATTACCCAAACCTGAAACAATTGTAGTTATGTCAGATGGTGACAAAATGGCGAGTCAAAGGCATATGAACTGAGTAATAATATAATGTCTCTGTTAACATTGGACAAACCCCTCGCGTACCCCACTCCCTTTTCCACAACGAAAGAAAAGGTCGTTAAATGATCAACCTACGTACCTGAAGGGTGTTCGGGGGGGTCAATGCCCCCGCGGCCCAGTCCTCGACTAACTCATCTAATAAAGTGTACTCACCTAATTATGGTTGCGGGGTAGTCATAGCTCCTGGCCCCGCCTCTTCACTGGCCGCTACTAGAACTACTCTCTCCCTGCTCCACGAGCTTTATCATACCTCTTCTTAAAGCTATGTATGGATCCTGCCTCCACTACATCACTCTCCAGACTATTCCACTTCCTGACAACTCTATGACTGAAGAAATACTTCCTAACATCCCTGTGATTCATCTGAGTCTTGTGTGTGTGAGAGAGAGCGAAAGAGAGAAATTGAAAGTTAACTATGAATTTCGATATAGATCATAAGCATTTATGATCATTTTCAACTCTTTATGTTAAAGTTAAACGAATCCCTTAATGATTATTGCCAGGAAATATAATTGTAATAAAATTTTAAGATAACTGCTACATACTGCTAGTGACTATTATATATAATCACAACCAGATTTTTTAGAAGGGTGGAGGGAAAGGCCAGTAGAAGGCTTCGGTCAGATGACCAAAGGTTCCAACTGATGGTCATCTTATGACTCAGACCCTCGTCAGGAAACACTTGCCCTGTTTCCTGACAAATGACTTACATGGGAAAATATGTTATACCCAAGTGTAAAATATGTAGAAAGGAGAATAAACACACTGGCAGAAAACGGAAATATAAGTTATACCATTAGTAGTTAGGAATGATAATAATAATAATAATAATAATAATAATAATAATAATAATAATAATAATAATAATAATAATAATAATAATAATAATAATAATAATAAATCTTTATTTTTACAAGTACATGATACAACCTATACACACCACAGCTGACATTAGTGACATGCTATACAGAAAGACCATGATTATACAGAGCATTTCTGGCAACTTAGGTTTTGTCCCCAGGATGCGACCCACACCAGTCGATTAACACCCAGGTACCTACTTACTGCCAGGTGAATAGGGATAGTTGGTCAAATGTTTGTTAGTGGGATGAATTGTAAAGGACCTGCCTAGTATGGGCCAACAGGCCTGCTGCAGTGTTCCTCCTTTCTTATGTTCTTATGTTCTTATGTGTCTTGAGGAAACAAGCCCAATTTTCCACCCGTATCGGGGATCGAACCACTGGCACTAAGGCACATCATTTCTTATGTAGGGATAAACTTAGACATACACCTCAAGGTGTATATATATACTAATTTTAAAAGGCACACGTATTAGTATTACTGACCACATCCGAGTGAGAAAAACACGAAGAGGAGCACAGGAGAGGTGGCGAAGGCGCTGAAGGTGAGGCAGGAGGCTGTGAGCAATGTCCCCGTCATGGCCACCTTCCTGAAGCCAAACTCTCGTGCCAGGGAGCCCACGATGACACCAGTCAGCTTCCATACTACCATGAAGGCGCTGTAGATGACAGCGACGGTGGTGCTGGACACCTGCCACTCCAGAAGTTGAGGAGAGAACAGGATACCGAAGGACGGGGACAACATCGGCACCACTAACTGCGAGAAAGAATTTATAAGTGCTAAACGGGGGTATTATACCAAGTATAATGTGAAAAATTTCTAATGTCCTAGGTCTTGGTCATGGGATGACCCACTTAGTGGAGTTTTTGGTCATTTGACTGAGGCCTTTCCCTGGCTTGCCAGACCACGCCAAAACAATATTATCACATCATAATTCGAAGATATCGTAGTGAAATATAACAAACAACTCAAGGAATGAAATGTAGCCTTCATGGAACAGTTGAGCTAATAGGATTAGGGCTTATTTGCACAGGTTCGAAACCCAGTAATTCCTGGCACACCCTCACATCGTAAGATGTGATAGTAGGGTTAGGTAAGATTTATCAGGAAACAGGACAAGTGTTTCCTGATGTGGGTCTTAGTCATATGATGACCCACAGCTGGTGCTTTTGGTCATCTCACCGAGGCCTTCCACTGGCTTCCTGGCCCACCCCTTTAAAAAACTACAGTTATAATTATAACCATTAGACAGATAGATGTTATGGTAGGTTTTTCATCTGTTTTATAAGGCTGACCATGCACAAGGTGACAACTGGTCTGGAAAAACGACCCCAGGGCGACCAGTTTCCTTTCCAAGTGTTGTATTTTAGAGAGGATATGCCTATCTCTGGTTGGTTAATTGGTCCTAAAGCCTATGACAAACTAAGATCATTAAGGCTGTTTGCCACCTCACCATCAGTCAATAATAATTCCAAATATAAAACTTGTTAGAGTAAACTTTAAGCGAATATGTACAAGGTGGGAAACTGGACGAAGTATTCGAAATATAGGTCTTACATAAAATAACACGGGTTCGATCCCCGGCCAGTTGCAGTTTGTTAATTGCTTAAAAATCACTTATTCGCGTATACATATATTATATATATATATATATATATATATATATATATATATATATATATATATATATATATATATATATATATATATATATATATATATATTATAATATATATATATATATATATATATATATTATATATATATATATATATATATATATATATATATATATTATATATATATATATATATATATATATATACTATATATATATTATATATATATATATATATAATATAATATATATATATATATATATATATATATATATATATATATATATATATATATATATATATATATATATATATATATATATATATATATATATATATATATATATATATATATATATATATATATATTATATATATATATATATATATATAAGTGGTTTTTTAAACATAATGCAGAGTTGCAAAGTACAATTTTGTGGTTTAATGTAAAGACTTACATAGCAAGTAAGAGAAATACTTAAGTAGGTGAAACTCACTGCTATTAAGAAAACTCCGGCAGCAACTACCCAACCCCAGCCTCCGTCGGGAGGCTCGGGACTATGTCGTTTCTCTGGCACCAGATGGTTATTCTCCTGCTCCTGCTGCTGTATCATCGACACATGTTGCTCTTCTGGTTCTTGTTTCTCCTCTGGACAATTCTGCTTCTGATGTAATTTCTCCTTTAGGCTGCAGCTCCTGGTAGTGACATCTGAGTTATCCTCTAGGCTGCAGCTGCCCCTGGTAGTGACATCTGAGTTATCCTCTAGGCTGCAGCTGCCCCTGGTAGTGACATCTGAGTTATCCTCTAGGCTGCAGCTGCCCCTGGTAGTGACATCTGAGTTATCCTCTAGGCTGCAGCCCTGGTAGTGACATCTGAGTTATCTTGTAGGCTGAAATCCCCGGTGGTGACATCTCTTGTGCAATCTTGTAGGCTACATGCCGAGAAAGTGACATCTCTTGAGTCCTCAAGAATATGATTTTGGTTGGTCTGGTTGTTGAGGCTCAGATCTTCGTTCACGCTCGCTGATGATTCCATATCGCTGTGAGATATATTTCTGCTGACGTCTTGTCTCACCCGCTGTCACTTTTGCTGATGTGACACTTCCAAAGTCCCTATACAAACACAGAGATAAAAATTTGAATGTTTCGTGTCAGGCTTGCTTCATTTTTCTAACACCCAGAGTATTCGCGTTTTTCCATGGGCCTATTCACACTTTTTATAAACACATATCACTCACATTTTTCACATACCTGGAAAAGATTCACATTGTCATAGACATAGATGATTTACATTTTAAAAACGAGCATCTCAAAAATAACAATTTTGAGGCAACAATGACAAGATGATAATGCCAGCATTCTTCTTCGTCTTCTTCTTCAGGATTCACTGAAGTTACTTGGAGATTTCTCCTCCTGATAACTATTCTCTCTAACATCGAAATGAGAGACGGAAACACTAGGAAGATGAGACTTGACTCTGCCCCTCCAGGGGAATGTGCCTCTCCATTATCAAATGACCTTCTTGGTAAACACTAGACAGGGCACTTCTGGGTATCAGTGATCAAGTAGCCAGTGACCTACCAGCTGGCATTTCGTTGTTATATCCCAGAATTAACAGCTGGGAGAAGTGACTTAAATACTGTACCCTCAGCCAGTGCAGTGTTTAACACGGTACTAAACCCACTAGTCATGGTGACAGCCCCTGTGTATGCTTTATCTTTCCTTATACACATGAACACAAATGCACATACACGCACATTATTTTCCTTTACATTATGCGGAATCACTGAACTTCATTATCTGTCGGAAACACTGGTGTAAGAGGTGATAGACAATCTTTCCTTATCGTATACCAGACTGTCAGCTCTTCTTGTCGGGTCTACTGACTGCCAGCTCCTCTCCTCGTGTCTATTGACTGTCAGCTGCTCTCCTCGTGTCTATTGACTGTCAGCTGCTCTCCTCGTGTCTATTGACTGTCAGCTGCTCTCCTCGTGTCTATTGACTGTCAGCTGCTCTCCTCGTGTCTATTGACTGTCAGCTGCTCTCCTCGTGTCTACTGACTGTCAGCTCCTCTTCTCGTGTCTACTGTCAGCTGCTCTCCTCGTGTCTACTGACTGTCAGCTCCTCTTCTCGTGTCTACTGTCAGCTGCTCTCCTCGTGTCTACTGACTGTCAGCTCCTCTCCTCGTGTCTATTGACTGTCAGCTGCTCTCCTCGTGTCTAATGACTGTCAGCTCCTCTTCCCGTGTCTACTGTCAGCTGCTTTCCTCGTGACTACTGACTGTTGGTTTCAACAACAGTTTCTCACCTCTGGTAAGCAGGATGAAGTCAATTGTCTGCATCATGCTGCGAGGGAAGGAGAGAAGGGGAGGAGAGGGTAAGGGGTAATTCACAGGGATAAACGAGAGTGTAATATTACATTTGGTGTGCCCCGTAGCTGGGTGGGTAGCGCACTCACCTCGCACACTGAAGTCTGTGGTTCGATCCATGGTACGGGTGCAAAAGATTTGGATGTGTTTCCTGGAGACACCTGCTGTCCATGTTCACCTAGCAGTAAAAATAGGTACCTGGGTGTTAGTCGACTGGTGTGGGTCGCATCCTGGGGACAAATTTAACTTAAATTGCTTCTCTGCATATCTAGGGGCTTTCTGTATAGTATGTTATTGATGTCAGCTATGGTCTGTATAAGTTGTATCATATACTCGTAGAAATAAAAAATTATATTATTGTCCTTTCCTGCCCGTGGTCCAGTCCGAGACCAGGTTGGTTCACAACTTGATCAATCAGGCTGTTGAGGTTAGCAGGGGTGAGGAGGGTCCTTTATACCTCAGGAGGTATTATTATATATTTATATATTATATTATATATATATATATATTTATATATATAAAATATTTATATATATATATATATATATATATATACATTTTTATATATATATGTCGTGCCGAATAGGCAGAACTTGCGATTTTGGGTTTAAATAGCAATGCTCATCTTGCCATATAGGACGAGTGAAATTTGTGTTTGCAAAAATTTTTGCCAAAATCATTCTAAAACCTAACGAAAAAAATATATTTCACTGTGTTTGTTTGTTTTAAAATTTATTGTAAACGTATTTAAAATATATTAGTTGGGTTGGGCTAAAATAAATTGTTCTTGTTAAAATAAGGTTAGGTAAGTTTTCTAAGATTCTTTTGGTGCGAAATTTTAAATTTTTACATTATCATTAATGAAAAAAAATATCTCTAAATGTATAAGAAAAAATTTTTAGAAAGGACTTAATTTTAAATGGTTCTTGCAATTGACCAGTTTACATATTCGGCACGACATATATATATATATATATATATATATATAATATATATATATATATATATATATATTATATATTTATATATATTATATATAAAATATATGTCGTGCCGAATATGTAAAACTGGTCAATTAGCAAAAACTCTTTTAAAATTAAGTCCTTTCTAAAATTTTCTCTTTACGTTTAAAGTTTAAATTTTTTTTTAATGTTGTTTGTAAAAAATTTAATTTTGCACCAAAAGTATCTTAGAAAACTTACCTAACCTTTTACAACAAGAAAAATTTTTATTTTAGCCTAACCCAACTATAAATATTTTAGATTTGTTTACAGTAATTTAATACTAAACAAACACAGTGAAATATACTTTTTTAGATAGGTTCAGAATGATTTTGGCGAAATTATTGCATACACAAATTTTTACTTGTCCTATATGGCAAGATGAGAGTTGCTATTTAAACCAAGATCGCAAGTTCTGCCTATTCGGCACGACATATTATTATATTTTATATGTCGTGATGATGTAAAGAGAGTAGTAAGGGAGAAAAAGTTAGCATATGAGAAGTTTTTACAAAGTAGAAGTGATGCAAGGAGGGAAGAGTATATGGAGAAAAAGAGAGAAGTTAAGAGAGTGGTGAAGCAATGTAAAAAGAGAGCAAATGAGAGAGTGGGTGAGATGTTATCAACAAATTTTGTTGAAAATAAAAAAGTTTTGGAGTGAGATTAACAAGTTAAGAAAGCCTAGAGAACAAATGGATTTGTCAGTTAAAAATAGGAGAGGAGAGTTATTAAATGGAGAGTTAGAGGTATTGGGAAGATGGAAGGAATATTTTGAGGATTGTTAAATGTTGATGAAGATAGGGAAGCTGTGATTTCGTGTATAGGGAAAGGAGGAATAACATCTTGTAGGAGTGAGGAAGAGCCAGTTGTGAGTGTGGGGGAAGTTCGTGAGGCAGTAGGTAAAATGAAAGGGGGTAAGGCAGCCGGGATTGATGGGATAAAGATAGAAATGTTAAAAGCAGGTGGGGATATAGTTTTGGAGTGGTTGGTGCAATTATTTAATAAATGTATGGAAGAGGGTAAGGTACCTAGGGATTGGCAGAGAGCATGCATAGTTCCTTTGTATAAAGGCAAAGGGGATATAAAGAGAGTGCAAAAATTATAGGGGGATAAGTCTGTTGAGTGTACCTGGTAAAGTGTATGGTAGAGTTATAATTGAAAGAATTAAGAGTAAGACGGAGAATAGGATAGCAGATGAACAAGGAGGCTTTAGGAAAGGTAGGGGGGTGTGTGGACCAGGTGTTTACAGTGAAACATATAAGTGAACAGTGTTTAGATAAGGCTAAAGAGGTCTTTGTGGCATTTATGGATTTGGAAAAGGCGTATGACAGGGTGGATAGGGGGCAATGTGGCAGATGTTGCAAGTGTATGGTGTAGGAGGTAGGTTACTGAAAGCAGTGAAGAGTTTTTACGAGGATAGTGAGGCTCAAGTTAGAGTATGTAGGAAAAAAGGAAATTTTTTCCCAGTAAAAGTAGGCCTTAGACAAGGATGTGTGATGTCACCGTGGTTGTTTAATATATTTATAGATGGGGTTGTAAGAGAAGTAAATGCGAGGGTCTTGCAAGAGGCGTGGAGTTAAAAGATAAAGAATCCACACAAAGTGGAGTTGTCACAGTGCTCTTTGCTGATGACACTGTGCTCTTGGGAGATTTGAAGAGAAGTTGCAGAGATTGGTGGATGAATTTGGTAGGGTGTGCAAAAGAAGAAAATTAAAGGTGAATACAGGAAAGAGTAAGGTTATGAGGATAACAAAAAGATTAGGTGTTTGAAAGATTGAATATCAGATTGGGGGGGAAGAGTAGGGGAGGAGGTGAACGTATTAATATTTGGGAGTGGACGTGTCAGCGGATGGGTCTATGAAAGATGAGGTGAACATAGAATTGATGAGGGAAAAAGAGTGAGGGTGCACTTAGGAGTCTGTGGAGACAAAAAAAACTTTGTCCTTGGAGGCAAAGAGGGGAATGTATAAAAGTATAGTTTTACCAACGCTCTTATATGGGGTGTGAAGCGTGGGGGATGAATGTTGCAGCGAGGAGAAGGCTGGAGGCAGTGGAGATTTTCATGTCTGAGAGCAATGTGTGGTGTGAATATAAAGCAGAGAATTCGTAGTTTGGAAGTTAGGAGGAGGTGCGGGATTACCAAAACTGTTGTCCAGAGGGCTGAGGAAGGGTTGTTGAGGTGGTTCGGACATGTAGAGAGAATGGAGCGAAACAGAATGACTTCAAGAGTATATCAGTCTGTAGTGGAAGAAGGCGGGGGTAGGGGTCCGGCTAGGAAGGGTTGGAGGGAGGGTAAAGGAGGTTTTGTGTGCGAGGGGCTTGGACTTCCAGCAGGCATGCGTGAGCGTGTTTGATAGGAGTGAATGGAGACAAGTGGTTTTTAATACTTGACGTGCTGTTGGAGTGTGAGCAAAGTAACATTTATGAAGGGATTCAGGGAAACCGGCAGGCCGGACTTGAGTCCTGGAGATGGGAAGTACAGTGCCTGCACTCTGAAGGAGGGGTGTTAATGTTGCAGTTTAAAAACTGTAGTGTAAAGCACCCTTCTGGCAAGACAGTGATGGAGTGAATGATGGTGAAAGTTTTTCTTTTTCGGGCCACCCTGCCTTGGTGGGAATCGGCCGGTGTGATAATAAAAAATAATAATGTCGTGCCGAATATGTAAAACTGGTCAATTAGCAAGAACTCATTTAAAATTAAGTCCTTTCTAAAATTTTCTCTTATAGGTTTATAGATACATTTTTTTCGTTAATGTTGATGTAAAAATTTATAATTTTGCACCAAAAGGAACTTAGAAAACTTACCTAACCTTATTATAACAAGAACAATTTATTTTAGCCTAACCCAACTAAATATATTTTAGATTTGTTTACAATAATTTAATACTAAACAAACACAGTGAAATATATTTTTTTCGTTAGGTTCAGAATCATTTTGGCGAAATTATTACATACACAAATTTTCACTTGTCCTATATGGCAAGATGAGCGTTGCTATTTAAGCCAAGATCGCAAGTTCTGCCTATTCGCACGACATATATATATATATATATATATATATAATATATATATATATATATATATATTATATATATATATATATATATATATATATATATATATATATATATATATATATTTTCAACAAGTCGGCCATCTCCCATATATATATATATCTTTCTTTCTTTCAACACATCGGCCGTATCCCACCAAGGCAGGGTGGCCCAAAAGGAAAAACAAAAGTTTTCTCCTTTCACATTTAGTAATATATACAGGAGAAGGGGTTACTAGCCCCTTGCTCCTGGCATTTTAGTCGCCTCTTACAACACGCATAGCTTACGAGGAAGAATTCTGTTCCACTTCCCCATGGAGATAAGAGGAAATAAACAAGAACAAGAGCTAGTAAGAAAATAGAAGAAAACCCAGAGGGGTGTGTATACATATGCTTGTACATGTATGTGTAGTGTGACCTAAGTGTAAGCAGAAGTAGCAAGACGTACCTGAAATCTTGCATGTTCATGAGACGAAAAAAGGACACCAGCAATCCTACCATCATGTAAAAACAATTACAGGCTTTCGTTTTACACTCACTTGGCAGGACGGTAGTACCTCCCTGGGCGGTTGCTGTCTACCAACCTACTATATATATATATATATATATATATATATATACAGTGGACCCCCGGTTAACGATATTTTTCACTCCAGAAGTATGTTCAGGTGCCAGTGACTGACCGATTGGTTCCCATAAGGAATATTGTGAAGTAGATTAGTCCATTTCAGACCCCAAACATACACGTACAAACGCACTTACATAAATACACTTACATAATTGGTCGCATTCGGAGGTGATCGTTATGCGGGGGTCCACTGTATATATAATGACACTCTTCAGGTCACTTGTTCTATCTAGGCTGGAATATTGCTGCACACTAACAGCACCTTTCAAGGCAGGTGAAATTGCTGACCTAGAAAATGTACAGAGAACCTTCACGGCGCGCATAACGGAGATAAAACACCTCAATTACTGGGAGCGCTTGAGGTTCCTGAACCTGTATTCCCTGGAATGCAGGCGGGAGAGATACATGATTATATACACCTGGAAAATCCTAGAGGGACTAGTACCAAACTTGCACACGAAAATCACTCACTACGAAAGCAAAAGACTTGGCAGACGATGCAACATCCCCCCAATGAAAAGCAGGGGTGTTACTAGCACGTTAAGAGACCATACAATAAGTGTCAGGGGCCCGAGACTGTTCAACTGCCTCCCAGCATACATAAGGGGGATTACCAACAGACCCCTG